TTCGATTGATGTGTCCATGCGTCGCGGGTCTGGGGGGGTCTGGGGGAGGGGTTTGTGTCTATATTTGGCGCAGGAGACGAGCTGTAGCTGTGTGATGTCAGCAGACTGTTGAAGCTGTTTTGTCTGCTCCTCTTCTGCCCATTGTGTTGTGCTCGCGCTCCGGACGTGACTCTTCTGTTTACAGACTCTGTACTCGAGCGCACAATGACTCCAGAGCACTTTTCACTCAGCAGAACTAAAAATCCTCACTCTTTGTATGACACATTTACAGCCACAGCCTTTTATCCTCGTCTTCCTGCTTATTTCCATGGAAATGTTGTCGCTCTGGCGATAATCTCCCACTGTATTTGCATGTTCCAAAGTACAGTTATGACTTCATATGTCTGTGGTGTCATACAGGTCATGTACTGGTGGATTGTTTACAGGACGTTCAGGAATGGGTGCAGTCAAACTTTCTCATCTTAGATAAGAAGAGACAAATCACTGTCAGTGTTGGGAAGGTGACTTTTAAAACATATTCCCCTACAGATTACAGATTACATACACCAAAATGTAGTTTGTAACGTAATCCATTAAGTTACTTAAAGTGAGTAACGTAATCTGAATACTTTGCTTCTCTACAGCAAATCAAGTAATCCAAAGACGAGGAAATCGTAACATAAGATATTTTGTTTGCTAAAAGAAAATAAAAAGCCCAGATTTTACTTAACCGTATTAAAAATATTATTGATAGTTTAGTCCTGTTAAATCCTGGTTTAGTCCTGGTTTTTGACCTGGTTTGGATCTGTTTAGACCTGGTTTTAGTCCTGGTTTAATCCTGGTTTAAACCTGTTTTAGTCCTGTTTTAGTCCTGGTTTAGTCCTGGTTTAGTCCTGGTTTAATCCTGGTTTAATCCTGGTTTTAGACCTGGTTTTAGACCTGTTTGAGACCTGGTTTAGATCTGGTTTAGATATAGTTTAGACCTGGTTTTAGTCCTGGTTTTAGTCCTGGTTTTAGTCCTGGTTTTAGTCCTGGTTTAGACCTGGTTTAGTCCTGGTTTAGTCCTGGTTTTTAGTCCTGGTTTAGACCTGGTTTAGTCCTGGTTTGGCTCAGAGGAAAAAAAAAAAGAAGCCCAAAATGTGAAAACAGGAAAATCCCGCCCTGTAATCCATTTATTTCAACAAAGTAACTGTAATCCAATTACCACTCACTGAAACAGTAACTGTAACTGAATACAGTTACTCATAATTTGTACTCTGATTACTTAACTCCGGTACATGTAATCTGTTACTCCCCAACACTGATCATTGATTTTGGTCTGATCTGTTGTTGAACTGTGACAGAGCCTCTGAGCTCCTATGAAAAAGCATTTTCTAGAAACTTTGCTGTCATTTTTGAAAAGCAAGTGAGCTCTGTTCTTAAATCAAGTTTTTTTTTTTTATCAGTTAACGGTTTTAAGCAAAATCAAATCATACATTCCACGTCGACACTTTGAAAAGGCCGTTCACGCATTTGTGACCTCACGACTCGATTACTGTACCTCTGTGTCCAGCTCAAGCCCCGTCCGCACGTTCGTAATCGAGTCGTTTTCGTTGTGGATGCAGTTCTTTTACTTTCACTTTCACTTTTAAATCTTAGTTCTTTGGATTAAATCTTGTCAAGGCGTTTTAAAAGAAAAAAGTCGCATATTCACAGTTTTGTAAGCCTCCACAAAATATCACAATAAACATATCGTACTGTGAGATGTTTATCGTGAAAATATCGTACAGAGAGATTTGGATATTGTTACGTCCCTAATCGTGAGCTTTCCCGTGATATCGCAATAAATATCGTACCGTGAGGTTCATACCGTGACGATATCGTATCGTGAGACTTACACCCGTAACGTACACACTTCCTTTCCCAGATTTATCTTCTTAATTGGTGGTATGTAGGGATGTAACAATATCCAAATCTCTCGATACGATATTTTCACGATATACATCTCACGGGACGAGATTTATTGCGATATTTTGCGGAAGCGAACGAAATTGTGAATACGCTACTTTTCTGTCATAATAATCCAAATAATTAAGATTTAAAAGTGCTTAAAATCATGTAGATTGGACTAAAACAGAGCAAAGCATCATGGTCTAGGTCAGGGGAGGGCAAACTTTCTGGCTCGCGGGCCACATAGGGTCCTAAAGTTTGACTGAAGGGCCGGACAGAAGACAGGACTTTAACTTCTTGGGTTCTTTTTAAAGACAATGCAGTAAAGTGTGTTTACCTTGTTGACATGTTTCGGCTGCTGCTCCATCTTCAGAACTGTTACCTGTGTTGGTGGTGACGTGTCGTATATCAGCTGTTGTGTGTGACACGTCACCACCAACACCGGGGACAGTTCTGAAGATGGAGCAGCAGCCGAAACATGTCAACAAGGTAAACACACTTTACTGCATTGTCTTTAAAAAGAACCCAAGAAGTTAAAGTATATAAGATGACAAAATGAACATCTTTTGTTTAGAAGACAGGACATAACGTGTTAAGAGCTCAGATTCATTACATTCTTATTCACATTTATCTAGGACTTCAGACGCTACACGTTTCATCACTGCTGTGAAAGATTCAGAACATAAAACTGTTGAGACCTGCTCCACTGCACAACACGAGTCAATGTACATCATGAGTTCACTGTTTCCGAATATGCCTGGTAACAGCTCAAAAACAAAGCTCACGCCAAACAACCACAGATATTCACCTGTGAGTGATTTAACCTGATTCCAAAATGTTGTACACATTAATAATTACAACTCAGAGTCCATTGGTTTCCTTGATTTATTTTTACCAACTTAAAATGGAAGCAGTGCAGTCTTATAGCTTAAGCACCAACTACTTCACTCATGGTCCGAATAACTCCTGTAAGAACACTTTCCCATAAAGCATTGCGGCCAACATAATACGCCGCAACTCAATGTATATATATATAGTGCGCCATCTACTGGGAAACGCTGGAAATGCATGACAAATAAAACATCAACAAGGTTTATTATTGTAATTTATTCCAGTTCGGCGAGTCGGATTAAAAGGTTTAAAGGGCCGCATACAGCCCCCGGGCCGTAGTTTGCCCACCCCTGCTCTATGTAGTTCTTTCTGTATTTAAGCTGTTTCTGCACCATAACAATGAATTTAAGCAAAGAAACTTGTAGTTAGATATGTTGTGAGACTTTTTACGATACAGTAACACAATATTTCGGTTATTGTCAGCGGACGTGTTTCTTTTATTATGTGATTTTAGAAAAATTTAGTGATTTAAAATGTGCAAATCCGTGTCTGTCAGAGATTAGAACTATCAGACAGTTCTTTAAAAACATATACAAACTAATGACCTACACAGAACTCTGCAGGCTTTGCTTCTATAGGCGAGTTTCAGCTGACGTCATTGTTATTAAAAGCCCGCGTTGCTGCTGGGAAATATTTTGGTCAGAGGCAAGAAACACGGTACCGTCAAACACAGTTCGTAACCTCGCGTATTTCTCCCCGATAATGGTAAATTCCTGCTGCATTATCGGATGCACAAATAGAAGCACGGAAGAAGGAAAATGTGTTTTTCGTATTCTGAGTGAAAAGAACCACTAACGGTGAATTAAACGACTTTCAAACATCCGCAGAGCAAACGTAGAAGATCCTAACAAACCGTGGACTCCAACAAGTTCAACAACACATCGAGACTCTTGGAGGTTTTCATCTTTTCTGCTGTGAATGGCCCAGGAGTTTCCACCAAGTCATTGTGGATATCGCCCAAGTGAATATTTGTCCAGGTAGTTGGTGATTCTGACCAGAAATTTGGTTTGTTCCAGGGACGGGCATTCGATGAAATTTTCTTAATCGATCGTTGGAAGAATTAACGATTATCGATTAATCATTAACGTTTTTATATTAAAATGATCATCATTATTATTACTATCTGCACTAATCTGCATAAATAAATTCAACTTTACGACATATAAACATAACGACTCTAGAGCCACATCAGCTGTTTGACATTATAATGTGTTTAATTCAGTTTTGTTCAAATCTCACAGAAACAAAACTTAAAACCTCATCACTAATTTGCATAAACTAAGTGAAGATAAAACTCCAGCTCTTGTGTCGCTGATGTGGTTCAACTTGTGTCGGATTAAAAGACATGACTCAGGTGAATACAGGTCAGTGTGACCAGATTTGTGTTTGTCAAAACCAGGACAGCGTACGGGGGGAGGGGGCGGGGCCTCGTCATCCACATTGAGCGACTCTCACCTGGAAAAACTTTTTCCCACTGGACACAGAAACATATGTGCTGCTTTATCCACTGTGCACATGGACTCACACTTGTCCCAACGCAACGGAAAGTGTGGAATTTCTTGTACAAATCCTGGTTAAATCCACATTTGTGCTTCGGTTCGTTACAGACTGACCCACTGTTTGTGTCTCGCTCCTTCTGATGCAGAGACACATGTACACACCTGTTTGGTCACGACACACAGCAACATACATTCGGTTTGTCGATTAAAATTAATGTAATCGATGAAATTCTTAATGATCAATTATCGATTAATCATGCCCATCCCTAGTTTGTTCCACCTTTTGTCGGGGTTGAAAAGGGTGATTTGTCGTCCGTCGATGCTTATGACCAATTTCTGGTCAAATGGTCTTGGGTCGTCTGCCGTTAGAGTGGATAAATAACCGGGATCAATACCCTTTACGTGCTTTCTCGCTCCGTCCGTCATGTTGAATTAGTGTTTCTTGCCGCCGACCAAAATAATTCCCAGCATGCAACGCGCGCTTTTGTCAACGATGAAACTCGCCTATAGCTGATCCACATTTCTCTCCTGTTTTTGTTGTGAAATGTCAAGGTCTGTCCACATTTATACAACAGATTAAAGGCACCGTCTGATATAAACATGACCTCTGTGCTTCAGTCCTGTTCCTCTGTAGTTAAATGTTTCTTCTCTTTTCTTTCGCGCTGTGTTCATGCGCGTGGCTCTTGTGTGCGTGTTTTTCAGGACTCCATCACGGCGCTGGCCCATGACCTGGACTATCCCGCTCTGCGCAAGAACAAGAACATCGACGCCTTCCTCAGCAGATGTGAGTCTCACACTGGAGATAAATGTGACCAGATGAGGAGCGTGTGATTTTAATTTGTCCGCAAACCCTATAAAGCCTGACACATGAATGAATAGACAGAAAATTCAGATTCTTTGATTTTTAACTCTTTATTGGACGTTTCAACAAAATGGTAAAAAAAATTATAATGATAATTTCGACCATTTCATAAGCAGTGTCGGGGAGTAACAGATTACATGTACCAGAGTTACGTAATCAGAGTACAAATTATGAGTAACTGTATTCAGTTACAGTTACTGTTTCAGTGAGTGGTAATTGGATTACAGTTACTTTGTTGAAATAAATGGATTACACAGAGGGATTTTCCTGTTTTCCAGTTTTCACATTTGGGCTATAATCCCCAGGTCTAAACTAGTCTAAACTCTAAACCAGGTCTAAAACTAAACAGGTCTAAAACTAGGTCTAAACCAGGTCTAAAACCAGGTCTAAACTAAAACCTAAACTAAAAACTAGGTCTAAACCAGGTCTAAACCAGGTCTAAACTAAACCAAAACTAAAACTAGGTCTAAACCTAAAACTAGGTCTACCTAAACCAGGTCTAAACTAAACCACTAAAACAGGTCTAAAAGGTCTAAAACTAGACCTAAACTAGACCTAAACTAAACCAGACCTAAACCTAGGTAAAACTAAACCAGGTCTAAAACCAGGTCTAAAACTAAACCAGGTAAAACCTAAAACCAGACTAAACCAGGTCTAAACCAGGTCTAAACCTAAACCAGGTAAAACTAAACCAGGTCTAAACCTAAACCAGGTCTAAACCAGGATCTAAACCAGGTCCAGGTCTCTAGGACAGGTCTCTAAACCAGGTCTAAACAGGTCTAAAACCTAAAACTCAAAACCAGGTCTAAACTGGTAAACCAGGTCTAAACTGGAAGCATAAATAAAATAATACTTACATAGATAAGAAATAAACTAAACTTTTATTTACCATCTGCCAAGGAGGTTATGTTTTTGCCGGTTTCTGTTTGTCTGTTTGTTGTTTGTTTGTTTGTCTGTTTGTTTGTCTTGTTTGTTTGTTTGTCTGTTAGCAACATAACTCAAAAAGTTATGGACCGATTTTGATGAAATTTTCAGGATTTGTTGGAAATGTGAAAAGGAAGAACTGATTTCATTTTGGGGCTGATCCGGAAGAAATCCTGGATTCTGGATCACTTTGAATTAACTTTGAGTTAACATTGTGGTAAATGGGGCCAAAAATTTTGTTTCTCAATATCTCGGTTAATTATTGACCAAACCCCATGAAATTTGACTCAGGGATGGACAATGGGATCCTCTTTCATATTCCAAATTGAAAGATACGAGACAAATATTTATGGAAAACACAATTAATATGAGGGGGACTGTAGTCCTTGGTTTATTTATTTTTATTTATTTATTTATTTAAAAATAGGGACAAAACACATTAATGAACATATACATGATATGTAAATATGTTATCAGATTATAGCCCAAGGCTAATTTCCATCTGCTGTCCCTGGGCAGGTTGATGTAATCATAAAACAAATGCACAGTAAAAACAATACACCCCGACAGACAATACAATAATACAAATAGACAGACACAAAGAGCTGGTCAGTCACAAGAGCACAGACAGGTCAAGCAAAGGATGTTGGATTATTTGATCAAAATTGCACGCTGCCTTGTTTAGTTAAGATGCCAGTGTATAGATATTGCACACAGCCCATTGCTAAAATTACTATAAAGTGCTTTTCTACAATGTATTGCACGTGCCCTCGAAGGTAAAATTCTTTAGTATATTACATATTGCCCGTAATTAAAATATTAAAATACTTAATAGCATATTGCACTTTGCACATTGCACATTGTGAACTATCGTAAATGATCACACACCTGTGTCGACCTGAGCCATGTCTTTAAATGGCCTTTAAAAGTCGTAAAGCT